CAAATAAGAATTTTGGCCATATCAAACAAACTCCTTTTTGATAAATCTTTTAAATATCTTGTCTTTGTTACATTTTTAAAACTATTTCTTGTATTTTCTCACACTAACCTTAGTTTTGTTCATATTATTTTTCTTATTAATTAAATTATTCCTTCTCCTTAAATAAAACACATTTCATATAACATCTAGCTTAAGTTATTTAGAAAGGTTTTGCTTTTAATATTTTGCTTTCAAGGTTGACATAAACATAAAAACCTTTGTCAGACTGAATTTATTTTCATTAATTCCTGGAATATTAGGACTATTTAATTTATATAAGTTCTTATTTATCATTAAACCAATCAGAGCAAGTTCTTTGAAGAAATATTATAATCTAATTGAATTACAGTATCCGGAAGTAGGAAATTATTATATTTGATAACTGTCTTTTGCATGCTTTATAGGATCCTTTAAAGCAGAAATTTAGAATAATTTGTCCCTTTTCAGTACACTTTTTGAATAGACTAATTTTATGTCAGATTTTTCTCAGTGTAGTTATTGAAAGCCCAACTCATATGGCAGACACAAGGAGCAGTTTTTCTAAGACTTAAGAGACTGCCTTAGGAGGGAAAAAAAACCTAGTAACTGCTAGTTATGGCTTCCTGAAACAAGACAGAAACTCAGACACAAAACAAGACAGAAAATACATAAATTCACCAGTGTGTGAGGCTAGCTCAAAACTCAGGCTTATACTCAACACTACATGAGACACACATATGGGGAACCTAGTTTCTTAAGATGTATACAGTAAATCTTGGATGAGATCGACTCAACTGAACAGAAAAACAGGTCCTAGATAAACTCATTAACATGTCAGAGTCTCAGATGGAGGGCTATCAGACCCTCTGATAAACCCTGAACATCAAACAAAAGCTCCCCAGAGGAAAGAAAAGAAATAGCAAATGGGAACTCATTATTCCTAAAGTGATCACAGAAATTCTAAATTACTTCAAATATGTCCAGCTTATAGTGTTTTTGAATATGAACCCCCAACCAGATCCAGGCTCATTTATCAAGGATGTTAAGAATTAGTTTGAAATTTTGGTCTCCTAGAGTCAAATAAAATCCCTAGCAGGGGATCTGCCTCAGGGTTTGGTCAGTGTTTTATTTCACAGTGTGCCTTCCTTCCATGAGAGTTGTCTTGTAGCTTGTGGGAATCCTAGTGCTCTGGCCCATCTCCTGTCCCAGATTATCCTTTCATGGGTGTCTTTCTGTTGGGGGCAAGCACCACAGAGGCCTTTAAGATGCTCGAACCTGTACCTACATATTTGTATGGCTTAAAAGACTCCGTGATTCCTTCATAACAACCATACAAAACCTGGTTTCATTCTTTCTTGAACCTAATTCATTCTGCTGGTTAGAGACCTAGTCTCTTATTTCAGACCTTAAATATACTAGCCTCTCTAATTGGAAAGTACCCTAAAGGGACCACTTACTTAACAAACTGTCGTTAGGGAGCTCAAACAAAAATCCAAATACAAGCAAAAAAGGCATTTCAAACAAAGGTTTGTAACTGGATTTTGACACTGCATTTCTTTACTTTGTTTAGTCAGCTTGGAAACAGTGTCTTACAGGGAAGCAATATCATTGTCCTGATGTCTTTTAGAGGCCTCTAGATACCAGTCAAAATAGGCATCCAATTAAGGTTGTTTAATTTGGGAGCCTCAATTTTCATTTTCCAATTTACTGTGCAGAAAAGTAAACTTTGAGAGATCAAAAGACCTCCAAAGTGACCACCGATTTTCTAAATTGTCCCTTGTCAGGTGATGTCAAGAACAAGCATGTTACAGGACCAAAGCGCTTATTCACAAAACAGGCAGGAGCCGCTACCTCCCCCTGTGAATTGGCATTACCCATTACTTTCAAGTAAAACCGAAAATACGTACAACACCAAATCCAACAATAAAACTCGAAAAGGTGAGACACAAAAACAGCAGAGCTCACATCTGAGAGGTTATTTACCTTAGGTTACTCCAAAGAGCTCTTCCCCACAGAAACAGAGAGCCCAAGCAGCTCAACTGGTACCTTAGCCCAGATCCACAGAGTCTTGGGGGGGGGGGTGTGTGTGCAGAAGATAATATGCCTTCAGTCCTGCTTCTGACACCTGAAATATCATAGCACACAGACTCTCATTCTGTCAGGAATAAAAGCAAAGATTTTTATTGAAGGAATAGAGCAATTCAAATTGGGCAGCACTCAAGCAAAATTGCAAAGTGCTCCACCACTTAAAGGGAAAGCAGCAATATTATTTATACAGTGAGTTAGTGTAGTTCTAGAACTTATAAGACCTCAAACATTTTCCATTCAGTGTCAGTTAATCTTTACATATTTCCTGAGAACAGTCTGAACAAACGTCTTCTGAGAACTTTTTCTTCATACCTTTTCTGGAACAGTGTGCAAGTAAAAATGAGGGCAAGCAAAACCACATTCTTTAGCATGACCTAATTTAAGTCTCCACAATGTCTTGTAAAAATTTCTGTCTTGTAATTATAGACCACATGATAAAGCACAAGTAAAAACTTAAGACAAGATGGAGTTTGGCCTACAACTTAGTCAGAAGCCTCATTCATGTCAAGCACCTTAATTTTGGAATGCTCTTTCACACAGTTGAATATTTGAATGATTGCCACTTACAAATGTTATGTTTTCCTGAAGGCAGTGCTTCATACTACATCTAAATGTAATCCCTCTTTAGTACTTTCTGCTAGGTTCCATAGGTTTTGGCATGAAATGTTCTTTTCATTGTCTTCTAGCTAGTTTGAAATTTTGCTTTTGATTTCTTTTTCTGATCCAAGTGGCTTCTTTCCTATTTTTTGCTGGTTTTCTCAAGTTCTTGTGCATTTTATTTTTTCCTTTGTTAATTTGGGCATTCTACTGTACTTTTCAAGGGGCCCTGGTGGCATAGTGGTTAAGCACTAGGCTGCTAACCAAAAGGTCAGCCACTTGAACCCACCAGCCGCTCTGTGGGAGAAAGATGTGGCATCTGCTTCCGTAAAGGTTACAGCCTTGGAAACCCTATGGGGCAGTTCTACTGTGTCCTATCGGGTCTCTATGAGTCTAAATCCAATCAACTCGATGGCAGTGGGTTTACTGTACTTTTCTGTTCTCATAATGAGATGCCTATTTCTCTATTATTATTAGAAAACAAGATAGCAAGCATTTCCTCTATGAACAAGTTATATCCCCTACCCCAATAAAATGAGAACATTAGAATTCTTTTTTCTCCTCCCCTACCCCTATTCCCCAGGAGACTTTTGGAATTGTTTTTTTATCTACCAATGGACATGGGTAGGTCGGTAGTTGGGGAAGAGTTTCTCCTTTACACTTCCCTGAAGGTCACTTCTTCCTGGGCTGTGACCCTCTTATCAAGTGTGGGAATAGGGAACTCAAAAATAAAACTTATAGGAGAGAAGTGTCGCAACAAACCATGCCACAATGCTAGAATTTCCTTGACGTTTCTATCAGTTTGGCCAGCCCCTTAAGGTCCAGCACAACATAGAGATAAACAAGGCCCGTAAAAGACTTAGTCAAATAACTCGCTCGAACCCGCCCCCATCTCCATCTGTCCAAGGACTGCAATTCCCAGAGGCCTCCAAGCGACCTGGCTGCCTGAAGTCAATGTGTAAACGCGTAGCATTCACCATCTTACTCCACTCACGTGGAAGTGAAGCGTCAGGCCTGGCCCATTCCACCTTCAAGCTTCGGAGGCGGGTAGGAACCGGAGTCCAGGAGGTGAAACTTGGCAGTGCGCAGGGTTCTGGAAGATGAATGATGAGGCTGGATTGCACAGGCATAAGCGTGTGGGGGCCGGAAGCGTGCCTGGTGAGTGGCAGTGCCCAGATGGAAGTTCCAGTTTCTGAGAGGCTGGAGTTAGGGGCGGCCACCTGGGTGTCCAGCACCCTGATCGCCACTGCTTTTGCGAGTCACAGAAGCAGTGGTGGTTTCTGCAGTGACCACACTCCAGAGGCAGCTCTGTGAGGAACCAAGGCCAGGGCTTCCGTATTTGAGTGGAGAGGAGTTTGGGTCACCATGGCACCCATGCTCCGTGGCTTAGTTACTTTGTGGAAGGTGGGAAATCTCGAGATGGGGTAGGAGTGATGGGTAGGGGTCAGGAGTTGTAACTGGCCTGGACAACAGCCCCTCTCTGGGGTCATGTTGTACCTTCTGTGGCTATGCCTAGAATATCAGCTGGGGGCTGGTTCCGCAGGGCATCACCCTGAGAAGCACAGGTTCTGTGTTTGTCTTTGGAGCCTCCTTTGTCCTCTCAGCCAAAGGCGCCTGTCTGTGTTCCTTTAATGGTCTCCAGATGCATCTCACCTCCTTACGGATTAGCTTTTCCTGACGCACTAGGTAGCTTACCAATACCAAGTCTTGCTCATAGCAGCCCTGTAACAAGGCCCTGCTACAAATTCTGCCATTTGAATATGATCAGACCCCTTCTGGGGTATTTACATTTTTCTTGCCCTCTAGCCACTACTTCAGAAATTTGAGAAAAGGTGGAGGGGCCATATGGGAGAAGGCTACCTCTCCAATACCTATGAAGAGTCAAAAATTGAAAACAGGCAAGCCACCTAGCACTAAAAGTTGCTGACCCCTGGGCTCTGAATCTGGACACCTCGTTTTTGCTTCAAGCTTATTTCTTCCCAATAGTTGTTTCCTCCCCTTGGCTCTCAGGGCACCTTTTTTCTGCTGGTTTTTTCCCCCTGCAATAGCATTTATCTAGTGGTAGAAAAACACTTTTACATGTCTATCCCCACAAGATTGCAAGTTTCTCAAAGGTAGAGATTCAGTAGAGCAGGATTCTGGGAAGAGGGAGTGGAGGAAGAGTGTAAAGGGCTTAGTACAGGGTCTGGCTCTTTGTACCTGCTGAGTATGTGTTCAATGAATGGGGAAAAAAATGATTTCTTCTTATGTTACAAGTACCCCTGAAAGACTACAGCTGGCACAGGCCTTCTACAGAGCTAGTCTATTGTAAGATGTCTATATCACTAACAGCAGCTAAAATTCTGGCCCTTCAGGATCCACAGGAACAAGAAAAGATTATGATGATGGAGCTAAAGGAAGAGGAACAGGCTTGGGAGCATGAGACCAGACTATAGAGAAACCCATCTGCCAGTCAAGAGTTCTTCTGCCAGCGCTTTAGGCAACTCTGCTACCAGGAGATGCCTGGTCTCCAGGAGGCCCTGAGCCAACTGTGAGTGCTCTCCTGTAAGTGGCTGAGGCCAGAGAGGCACATCATGAAGCAGATCCTGGAGTTGCTGGTGCTGTAACAATTCTTTACCATCCTACGTGAGAATCTCCAGTCCTGGATACAGGGACATTGCCCTAAGAATGGAGAAGAGGCTGTGACTGCTGGAGGATATAGAGAAAGAACTTGATGAACCAGAACCGCAGGTGGGAAGGGGGATGTGTGATCTGTGTGGGAGCTGGATCAGTGACATTCAAGCTGGAAAGAAAGGCAGCAGTGGGGGAAGTTGCCAAATTCAAACCAGGTAGAGCAATTAGTATGTGTGTTTCTGTCTCTGTCTTCTTTGTCCTCAAGGCCTGATAAGACTTTGGCTCCTCTTCCTTTTCCTGTATTGACTCTGAGGAGGCTCCCTGAAGTCTCCTTGGAAACTTTGGTCTCATGTAAATCGAGTGGTTCCTGATCGCCTCCAGGTCCCAGACCCTAACCATGGAACTGCACAAGAAGAGCCGTGGGAGAAAAAGGCACCTCCGGGAGCAGGCCAGGATACACGGAGCACCTGGCTCCAGCCCAAGGAGAACCAACCTTTCCCAGAGAGTGGTGAGGAGCAGAATTCTGTGGGGGGGGGGGGAGAGGATAGAGAGGGAGTATAAAGGGCACAGTAACTGGCACAGAAGAGGTGCACAAATATTGTCTATCATCACCCTGGCTTTACTATTCTTACTTCTTAGGTAAGAGACTGTGATGGTTAAGGTTGTGTGTTCACTTGGCTGAGCCATGATTCTCAGTGGTTTGGCAGTTATGTAATGATGTAGTCATCCTCCATGATGTGATCAGTCAATCAGTTGTAAGGGGACTTTCCTCGAGGGTGTGGCCTACATCCAATATATATGGACATTCTGGCAAAACCCGCTTGCTCTGGATCCTACGTCCAGCTCGTCATAATCTGACCTCCAGTTCTTGGGACTTGAGCCAGAGACCTGCCATATTACCTGCCAGTCTTGGGAATCATCAGCATCCGCAACCTGTGGGCTAGCAGCCTGCCACCTTACCTCCCGTTCTTGGTATTCGTTGACCTCTGCAGCCTGTGAGCCAGCAGCCTGATGTCTTACCTGCCAATCTTGGCTTTTCAGCCTCTGCAACCCGTGAGCCAGTGGCCTGCTGTCTGACCTACCGATCCTGGGTTCATCAGCCACTGCAGCTCCATGACTCAGGAGAAACCTCCACCTGACCCACACACTTGGGACTTTCCAGCCTCTACAACCACATGAGTCATTTCCGTAAGATAAGTCCATCTCCCTCCCTCCCTCCCTCTCTCTCTCTGTGTATATATGTGAGAAGCTGGGCTATATGAAGAATGTGGCGTCAGGATTGAAGGAACTCATTAACCTGCAATATGTAGATGACACAACCTTGCTTGCTGAAAGTGAAGAGGACTTGAAGCTCTTACTGATGAAGATCAAAGACTACAGCATTCGGTATGAATTGCACCTCAACATAAAGAAAACAAAAATCCTCTCAACCGGACCAATAGGCAACATCGTGATAAAAGGAGAGAAGACTGAAGTTGTCAAGAATTCCATTTTCCTTGGAATGCTCACAGAAGCAGCAGTCAAGAAATCAAACAGTGTATTGCATTGGGCAAATATGCTGCAAAGACCTCTTTAAAATGTTAAGCAAATATATCACTTTGAGGACTAAGGTGCGCCTGACCCAAGCCGTGGTATTTTCAGTCACCTCATAAGCATACAAAAGCTGGGCAATGAATAAGGAAGACTGAAGAACAATTGATGCATTTAAATCATGGTGTTGGAGAAGAGTATTAAATATACTATAGACTACCAAAAGAATGAACAAATCTGTCTTGGAGGAAGTACAGCCAGAATGCTCATTAGAAGCAAGGATGGCGAAACTTCATCTCACATACTTTGGACATGTTATCAGGAGGGCACAGTCCCTTGAGAAAGATATCATGCTTAGTGAAGTAGAGGGTCAGCAAAAAAGAGGAAGAGCCTCAGTGAGATGGATTGTTACGGTGGCTGCAACAATGGGCTCAAGCATAACAATGAATGTGAGGGTGGCACAGGACCAGACAGTGTTTTGTTCTGTTGTACAGAGGGTCACTATGAGTAGGAACTGACTCAATGGCACCTAACAACAGCGACTATATATGTAAATATATATATACACACACATATATACACATTATATATATATAACAACTATATACGTGTGTGTATATATATATATACACACACTTCACTGATTCTGCTTCTTGAGAGAATCCAGCCTAAGATATTTGGTACCGAGAGTGGTTCTAGAGAAACAAAACTGTAAGAATGAGTATTCTAAATTGGTTCTGATGTCTGACTAGTCTTCAAAGCGCTGATGACTCTGCCTGCAGTAGTGAAGAGGGCAATGCTAATCCGTGGTGTGATGTGGCAATATTAATACACAAAATACCACCACCAATAGATCAAGTAATGGTGAGAAGTGAGGCTCTGGGTGATTGCAGGTTTGATACTTTTCTACAATTTTTTTCAGAATGAGAAGTATAGGGAAGCTGGTTGTTTCATCCTACTTTCACTAGACAAAGTGGTGAAAGAAAGAAATGCGCTCAGGGCTTCAGAGTCACAGCTCAAGTGCTGCATAAGAGACCTCAAAGTTGCCACTTGTGCCCTGAAAGAAAGCCTTGTTTCTTGTAATAACAGAGCTGAAATTGCCAAAAACCAAACCCAGAGCCTTATCATAAGAGTGGCTGAATTACAATGCCAATTGAATTCTCAATCTTGAATGGTATCTGAAGTTAAAGTGAGAGCATAGATTGGGAAGAAATGGGATCCTGAAACTTGGGATGGGGACTTATGGGCAGATAATCAGGAAGCTGGGGACAATGAGCCCCTAAGTTCTGTTGAATCACTCCTGCCAACAGAACCAGCCCTCTTACTGTCACCTGAAGAGATCACTCCATCTTTGTCTGCTAAGCACCCTCCCCAGTAAAGCCATTATCCATTCCACCAACACCTGATGTCATTAACCCAGCTGTGCCTGAAGAGTCTGTCTGAGATATAGCCCCGGGCATTGCCAGCTGCAGAGACCAACACTGAGTCCCCAATATGGCACCATTCCTCGAGGCAATCAGCCAGCAACCTAGTGGCAGGTTGATTACATTGGGCCACTTCCATCATGGAAAAGGTAGTGTTTCATTCTTACTGGCGTGGACAGTTACTCTGGATACAGATTTGCCTTCCCTTCACTCAATGCCTCTGCCAAAACTACCATCTGTGGACTTACAGAATGCCTTATACATCATACATTGTCATGGTATTCCCATACTGTATCACTTCGCATCAAGGGACTCACTTCACAGCAAATTAAGTACGGCAGTGGGGCCATGGTCATGGAATTCAGTGGTATTACCATGCTTCCCATCATCTTGAAGCAGCTGGCTTGATAGAACAATGGAATAGCCTTCTAAAGACATGATTACTGCACCAGCTAGGTGGCAACACTTGCATGGTTGGGGCAATGTTCTCCAGGAGGCTGTATATGCTATAGTCAGCATCCAGTATATGGTGCTGTTTCTCTTATAGCCAGGATTCGTGGGTCCAGGAATCAAGGGGTGGGAATGGGAGTGGCACCACTCACTGTTACCCCTAGTGACCCACTTACGAGATTTTTGCTTCCTGTCCCCGCAACCTTATGCTCTGCAGGTCTAAGATCTTAGTTCCAAAGGGAGGAATGCTCCTTCCTGGAGACACATCACTGATTCCATTGAACTGGAAGCTAAGAATGCCACCTGGCCACTTTGGGCTCCTTATGCCTCTGGATCAACAGGGAAAGAAGGGAGTTACCATACTGACTGGTGTGATTGATCCTGATTACCAAGAGGAAATCAGATTGATATTACATAATGGAGGTAAAGAAGAGTATGTCTGGAAAGCAGGAGATCCCTTAGGGTGTCTCTTAGTACTACCATGCCCTGTGAATAAAGTCAATGGAAAACTACAGCAAACCTATTCCAACATGATTACTAATGGCCCAGACTTCAGGAGTGAAGGTTTGGGTCACCCCACTAGACAAAGAACCACAACCAGCAGAGGTGCTTGCTGAGAGCAAAGGGAATACTGAATGAGTGGTGGAAGAAGATAGTTCTAATTACCAGTTATGACCACATGACCAGTTGCAGAAACAAGGCCTGTAATTGTTATATGAGTATCCCTTCCTTGTATGTGTGCATCAAATTTTTTTTTCTTCACTTACAAAATATAAGATGTAAACGGGGCTAGTGCATTTTTGGTTGTACACGTTAGTTGTTAGTTTATCATGTTACGTGCAAGTATGACTTTGTAACTGTCTTTATTTAGAATTTGTTTATGGTTTAAGGAGATGTGTACAGGTACCAAGTTGACAATGGGTAGACTGTGATGGTTAATGTTGCGTGTCAACTTGACGGGGAAGGATTTTCAGTGGCTTTGCAGTTATGTAATGATGTAGCCTGGCAGTTATGTAGTGATGTAGATTGGCAGTGTTATGTAATGAGGTAATTTGCAGTTATCTAATGATGTAGTCATCCTCCATGATGTGCTCTGATGCAATCAGTCAGTTGTAAGGGGAGTTTCCTTGGGGACATGGCCTGCATCCAAAATATATATGGACTTTCTGGCAAAACTCGCTTGCTTGCTCTGGATCTGCATCCAGCTCGTCATCATCTGACCTCTGGTTCTTGGGACTTGAGCCATCAGCCTTCTGTCTTACCTGCTGATCTTGGGATTTGTCAATTTCCACATCCTGTGAGCTAGTGGCCTGCCGTCTGAGCTGCCGATCTTGGGTTCATTAGTCCCTGCAGCTACATGAGTCAGGAGAAGCCTCCACACTGACACCTGACTCATGGACTTGGGACTTGCCAGCCTCTACAACTCCGTGAACCATTTTCTTGAAATAAATCTCTCTCTCTCTCTCTACGTATGTACATACATCCCACCCTGTTGCCGTCAAGTTGATTCTGACTTATAGTGACCCTATAGAACAGAATAGAACTTCCCCATAGGTTTCCAAGGAGTGGCTGGTGGATTTGAACTGCTTACCTTTTGGTTAGCAGCTGTAGCTCTTAACCGCTGCACCCCAGGGCTCCATATATTTATACACTTCATTGGTTTTACTTTTCTAGAGAACCCAGCTGTATGGATTGAATTGTGTCCCCTAAAAATTCATGTCAACTTGGCTAAGCTATGACTCGCAGTATCGTATGATTGTCCTCCATTTTGTGATCTGATGTAATTATGTGTTGTAAATCCTAACCTCTATGCCTGTGGTTATGGTCCCATTTGGGAGTGAGTTTTCCATTATGTTAATGCGGCATGATTAGGTTACATTAGTGAGGGTTAGGGCGGGATGCACCATCCTTGCTTGACACACCTTTTATCTTACAAGAGATAAAAGGAAAGAGAAATGAGCAGAGAGGAGGTGACCTCCTACCACCAAGAAAGATGACCTTGGAGCAGAGTGTGTCCTTTGGACACAGGGTCCCTGCACTGAGAAACTCCTAGACCCAGGGAAGATTGATGTCAAGACCTTTCCCCAGAGCCAACAGAGAGAGAGAGGCTTCCCCTAGAGCTGGCACCCTGAATTTGGACTTCTAGCCTCCTAAACTGTGAGAGAATAAATTTCTGTTTGTGAAAGCCATCCACTTGTGATATTTCTGTTGTAGTAGCTCTAGATAACTAAGACACCAGCTTAAGACAGAGACTTAGCCTATTTTGTCACATGTAAATATAGGAATAATAATAACTTACTTCACAAGGTAGCTCTAAAGATTAAATTAAAACTTATATTTGGCTATAAAGCCTAGCCAGCATCTTCTACCTTAGAGAGCACTAAAACAAGACTAAAAAATAGTCTTTCACTCCCTGCCTCATCATCTCCACTACTGTAGACTCTCCCTAATCCATAATAGGTCTTCCTGAGCTGCAGAGGCCAGCTTTGATATCCTTTCTCTTTTAAATGTCTCATGCCTCTCAAAACACACTTTTTTTAAAATAATATTTTATTGTGTTTTTGGTGAAGGTTGACACAGCTGTTTAGGTTCTCATTCAACAATTTGTATGCAAATTGTTCAGTGACATTGGTTACATTCTTCACAATGCATGAACATTCTCAATATTTCTATTCTTGTTTATTTTGTTTCCATTAACCTAGTTTCCCTGCCCCCTTACATTCTCATCTTTGTTTTATAAAGTAATTGTTGACCGTTTGGTGTCATAGAGATGATTTCTTAAAGGATCACAGTACTCACAGACGATATTCTCTGTTTTGTTAGCCAATCTGTTGTTAAGCTAAAAAGTGATCTCAGGGGCTAGTTTTGGTTCAAGGTTTAAAGAGTATCTCAGAGCAATAGTCTCAGAGAGTCCACCAGTCTCTACGTGTCTACTAAGTCTGTTTTCGGTTGGTTTGTTTTTCTTTTTAGGAATTTGAGGTTCTGCTCCACATTTTTGTTTCGTTCTATCACGGTCCATCTACTGTGACCCTGATCAGAATGGTCAGTAGTGGTAGTTGGGCACCATCTAGTTCTTCTGGTCTCAGGATAGATGAGGCCATGGTTCATGTAGACTGTTAGTCCTATAGACTATTTTTTTCTTTGAGTCTTTGGTTTCCTTCTTTCTCTTTTGCTCTGGATGAGTAGAGACCAATAGTTGTATCTTCAATGGCTGCTCACAAGCTTTTAAGATTCTCATCAAAACACACTTTTTAAGTCATAATACACTCTTATCTGAGACATAGCTGCCACCACCTTTATCTATCACCTATCCTCCCCATCTAAACATCCCTGTTTGAAACTCTCTATATCCGTACTTCTGCACTTCAGATTTTCTGCAAAAAATTCTTTCCCAGCCTGCATACATCTCTACAAATATCCTTGCCTCTCCCCTAGTGGCAAATGCTAGACTTAGAGACAGTAGACTTAGAGCCTCAGGACTGTGAACTGCCCTTGTTGACCTCTGTTACATCATGAACCATGCTTATGTCATTATGCTGCTAATCAAAAAGATTCTCTGTGATATTTGGTTTTACACCTCAAACTCCTCACTGCCCCAATCACCACCACCAAATGAAAGGATTTGAAAAACAGAATTCTTGTTAGCAACAAAATGGGAAAGATTAGAAATGGAGATTAAGCTTAGAATCTATTCCAAAAGTGTGTTTTTACCTACTGGCTCATCTTTCCTCCTTGCCTTTCTTCCATACTTTTCTTTTCTCATTTTCTTTTGTTTAAGCCCCAGTTCATTTTTCAACTTGATACTTTACTTTTAAAAAGAAGTTAGCTATTGTTTGTTTAACAGTGGGAATGCTGTAGATTTCTTTAACCACAAACATTTTAACCTGTTTTTAAAAAAGTTTATTTCTTAAATGGTCTTGAGTTGTCTTAAAGCAATTGCTTTTTTTTTTTCATCTTAGACTATAGAATGTTACAGACATGCTGTTTTTTTTTTTCTTTCCTTTTATTTATGTGGTGTATTACGTTGATGGATTTTCTAATGTTAAACCATCCTTGCATACCTGGTATGAATCCT